AAGACTGTGCACTTAGTCCGAAGAACTTGAACTGAAATGCAAAGAGCCAGAAACTGCAATCTCATGTAAGAAATTACCCTTACAGACGATCAGAGCTGCAAGAACTTTTATTTCTCTGCCCAAGTAGCTTCATTTCCTGAATGTTCTATTAAAGAAAGTCTGTGGAGGTCTGTATCTTTATTAGCAGGTCTTTGATCCCTAACGATCAACTGAAAACTATCAAAATCCAAACTGCTTTTAAATGCGCCGCAGGTATTTACAAGTACTTTCTCAGTTTTATTATTTCCTTATTAAGCAGGTGATTCTGTCTGGAAAAGAAATATTGTCCTGTTCTGCCTTTGCCACTGCAAAACTGCAAAAGAAACATTTTGTGGTGTTTTTCGGAAAAAAAATCAAGAATATATCTGTGTTTCCTAAATGGGATCACAATTCATCTTTTTCTCATTGGATCTATGTTTATCCTCTGACACCACAATGACCTCTAATGTGACAGCTTACATTGAAGGATAACAATGGAAACAGTCTCCTCTTCCTGAAAAACTACTAAGGAATGAGAAATTATAAAGTATTTTATACCTTTCAAATGGGGAATACCGCAGATTCTTAGAGCAGAGGGAACTATTAAGTATTACCACTACACTTACACACACACAAAAAAAAAGAGGCTTGCATTAGTTCTACTGCAGATGATAAAGGAATTTCACTATTTATCAGATAACCAAATTATTCTCAAAAGACTATACAATTTCATAAATAAAAAGCGACTTATTCATTCTTCAATAATTGTGACCAAAATGTACATCTGTACTATAAACATATATAAGCCCTGCTATTTGACAGTGGCAATTATTTTCTTCCCAGAGGAGTATTCATATCTTACCATCTTTTATGCTTGGCACATAACTATGTAAGACAAGCACAGTCAATGCTATTTTAGTTTTCTTTACACTGTAGAATACTGGTGTTGGATAACAGGGAAGGACTAGGAGAGGACAACAGAAGGGAATGTACCTGTGGACCACCTAGCTGGAAGCCCTGCACATCCCTGTAACAGCACAGTGCTTGGTGCTTGGTGAAGGTACGCATAAACTCCCAGCACGAACGATAAATCAGTGATGGTTCATAAAAATAATTCTAGCTCCAAAGAGGAAAACTGGCTTCAACCTGGCAATCTCATTACACGTTTTGTTCCTGTGGTCCACCATCCATTTGATCTTCGCAGGGACAGGGGCATTTTCTGGACCTACCACATATCAGCACAGTCAGTTTCAGGTCCTATATGAAAGGTCAGGCCCTATCAATGTGAGATGAAAGAGCCTTTTCAACAGAGGGCGGGAAGGACTACTGTGATCTCAGAAACATAAGGTTTGCGGGGAAAACGCAGCAACAGGTATGCTTATTTTCTGATTAAGAGTAATTCTGAAATCAGCTTGGGAAATAATTCTGTATGGATCCACAACGACACCTTCACCTGAGAGAATGTCATGCTACAAGGAAATCCACCTTACTCTGGCTTAGCTACATCCCTGTTTTCCTGTTGGAAGCAATTGCAATCGAGTTTTTGCAAAAAGACGGAATGGCAAGCAGGACTCTATGCCTCAAACAATGGTCCAAAAAGCATTTGGAGAACCAAGCTCAGGTTCTTGTTTGGAACTGAATCTGCAACGCTGAATTAATACAAAAGAAAATATTAAGTCAGTTCTCAGGCTAGGTATAGATTCCTGCCAGTGCAAGGTTCCTGGGTCAACTGCATCCTGGCTGGTAGACAGCAACCTCAGGCTACCCTTGCGTGTTACACAGCACACTGTCCTAGTGTCCTCTACCACCAGCCAACAAGTACATGGGAAACCGAACCAAAAGGCCTGCAGAAGGGATGCACCCATCACAACTGACCTAGATGAAAGAGGATGATGCAAGGGTACTATTAAAAGGACTGATGCTGAATGGATTTCTCCACATAACTGGAGAATATCTTGCTTCTAAAGAAAGGCTAAAAGGTATCTGCCTCTGCACTTACCACGACCAGGCAAAACATAAGAATATACTGCCATTTGTCTTGGGATAAACAAGCAGGAATTCACCTGGTAACAGGATTAAAGTCCAGCTGTAACATTAGGTTCTCATGATCTGCAATTTGTCAAAAGGTAGTAAGTCTTTGGCATCTGGTAATCATTTTTGTGGCCTGAACTGCAACGAGAAGAAGTGATTTTTGCGCGTTCATTCTCTGCCACATGCACATGAATAGACTGGAGAACCCAGTCTCTTGACGGTCCCTTTATCAGTCAGCTGTCCCAGGTATAAAAATAGATACAGTTGTCTCAGGTGAGCAACTATCCAGCCAATGCACTGGTCAACACTATTGCAGCAGCAGAGTACGAAGGGAAAGTTTACTTTTTGCAATGGTGTCCATATACTGCTAACTTCACCCTTTTAAATAAGAATGTGTGGATAAAGGTGTTGAGTATTCTTACGCCGTATAAGTAACCTGTCTAGGTTGCTTGCTCTAAACCCTTTATCTCTGAGGTAAAAGGGAATGAGTTCTGTTGTTCCCGGGGTTAAGAGTCAATTTCCTTCAAGACAGATTTGTACAGGGTGGGTCTCCAAAAATACTCATAATGGGACGTGGAAGAGAGGAGTGGGACTGCTAGAGAACAGAAAGGCAAACTCGATCAAGTAACTTGTGGTAAGTGTCTAAAATCCAGAATAATCCCTTGCCAAGTTCGATGGAAGAGAGCTAACATGTTTCCAAAAGTAGGAGATGGAGAAGTAGATGAAAGCAACTGAACGGGATATTTGCACTCTTTGATAATGTTTTTAAGACTGCTGACAAGAAGACAATGAGGGGGTAAGAGCTGGCAATGACACCTGTAGTCTATGCCAGTGATGACAGTATCATCCCTTGTGTTCTTCTTGTTGCTGGAACAGATTCTGGGTGTGGAACACAAGAAAAGTGGCCACTGTACCAAGCCAAACAGGCGGATCTGCAACTTCTTCTAAGTAGCCATAAAAGATTCAAAGCAGGCTAAGAATAGCCTTTTCCTTCCTAAGGATTCTGGAATCCTTAAACGTAAGTAACTGCTGAGTGTCCCTGCACTAAACACAAAGGAGATGCCAGAAATTGCCAAACAGGATAGCAACAATCTGCATCCAAGTCTTCCTTGTAATCTATGGGGTGGGATTCTGCAAAGGAGAACAGGTATCAGTGAGCTGGTCTTCATAGCTAGAGCAGCTGGTGACTCACCAAACAGCTAAAATGAACACACTTAACCAAACAAAATTATTTAGGTACTTCAAACCTGCAGTGTGAGAGCATGACTGCTCAGATTTCTCTTCACTGCTGAAAGAACCAAGGAAGATGGAACCAGAGGGACGAAGAGAAAGTTCATGGCTCCTAAGAATACTGATGTTTCCTTTATAGTTCGAGAAAAAGAATGTATCAAAAGATCTTGCTATCATCCAAAATGGTTTCATTATCTCTACGTACCGTATTAACTTATAAACAACTATCAGCAGTTTCAATTTCCTCCCTGAGTACAAATTGGAGGAGACTTCAAATTTGCTTTAAGAGGTTTAGAAAGACTCTCAAACCCGCAAACCTGACGGTCCTAAAATCTTCATTTGCAGCCAGCAGTATCCAGAAGGTGATGTGCACCAGTTTCCTTGACATCCCTTAATTGTAAGGTTCAGAATAAAAAGGCAATCTAAACTTGCTTGTTGAAATAGGTTCCAGGGGTTCTTGCTGCTACTCAGGATTCAATACTCCTGAAAATACGAGGGTAAAGAGCTATGCTGAATCAGTACCTCCTCCCTTCAAACTAAGGCACATTCTTCTTCAAAGACGATATGTAATAGAGACTTTCTGGTGGTGCTGAGTTGCTCCAAGAGGTGGGCAATCCTTTGAAGAATCCTTCTTAAAACAAATGGTAGGACTGAAGGGCCTTGTAAAGCCCCTTAGGTTGACTAGAAAGTTGTCTCAGTATCAGGTGTGCACTATGTCAATTAGCAATCCTGAAGGCTGACAAGAATGGAAATAAAGGCTAATTCAGCATCCACAGAATCCTTGGCGTTAAGTAAAAAAATAATGCTGGCTTTCATGTCAATACTGGAGCTGCGTTTGGCAACCCCAGGGGAGAGGCAGAACAACATTTCCGAGCACCACAATCAGTACTGTTGACTGAAGCCAGACAGGACAAATACACAATTTTGAGAGTTTTTCCCTTGCTTTTTTTTCAGTAGGCATCAGTGGCAGAGCTGTCAGCACTCATACTGGAACAGATCATTTGGGTGACTTGAGCTTCCCGAACAGATTCTCAAGTGGCCAAACGAGAGCTGCGAAGGGAACCAAAACAACATCCTTGTGTCCATCTTTTTATCAATTCTCGAGAAGTCTGATGTTTGGCACTCCGAGCGCTAGCTAACTGTAAAGATCCCATACTCAGGGATGCTACTTCTGCTTACATACTAGGAAACAGCTAAGTTTTGGTGCCCACCTCAACCAGTTCCGAGGTTGATACACTCAACTGTTTTTAGCAGAAATATCTAAAATTTCAACTCCCTCTCCCTGCAGCTGGGGAGTTCGGATAAAACCCAGCAAACTCAGTACCTTCCTATTCCCCCTCGCCTCCACTGAGGCTATATAAACTCTAGTTATACAGCTCAGTTAAGCAGGATCATATGTTCCAAGTGACAGACAGATGGAAGATTATTTTTGAAGAAATCATCGTAAGATAAAAACTTTAACGGAGGAAGGCAAACACGAGAAGGAAAATGCACGTTAGAGGCCTTTTTAAACACTAAGAAGTACAGCATCAATATACATACAGTCACCACAAAGAATAGTAGCACGCACAATTCTGAATAACAACTGCATAGTATTAATCAGGCAGACTGTCAGTTCTTTACTACAATGAACAGTTTTCAGCATACAAACATCACAGTCTAAAATTAAATTAAAAATAAACATTTTATACTGTATTACAAGAATATAGTCTAAATCATACCTCGGGTGCCAGGTATTCTGGAGTACCACAGAATGTTTTCATAGTTGCTGCGTCTGTGATTCCTTCTTTGCAAAGTCCAAAATCTGTGATTTTTATGTGTCCATCTTTATCCAACATTAGATTTTCTAACTGTGTGTTGGGGGGAAAAAAATGTTCCCTTAGTACTTCATAGCAGGACAGGCTGATGCAGTACATCAATTTTGTAAAAAGATACAGAGTTATTGCTGGCAATAGAATGTAATTTGTTTACAATTTAATTGTACAATCTAAATAATTATTTAATACTTTAATACAGTTTACAATAGTAAATCCCAGGTCAATCAAAGCATAACCTTTCATTCTGAAGTTTTACAAGTTTGGTGCATCTTCCATAGAACGAAAGCAAAATAATTTTCTAAATATTCTCAAGATATAACCACGTAATCCAAGGTTACAATCATGGCTGTCATTTGGTAAGACTTCATACGTTTCCTTTGCCGTAACATGGCCTTCATTTATCAAGATGCACTTTACTTACTATACTGTCATGAAACAGTTAGTCGATATCCATAAATCCTTAAAATATCTGCATCTTCCACAACCTTTTCAGTAACAGACAAAAGTGGGGGTAGAGAGGCTACTGATAAGAACAAAACCCTGAGGCAAATTCCTCCTTGTATACTTGCAAAGGACACTGTTCGTGAATTGTGTATGTGTACCTCTGCATGCTTTGCATTGCTTTTTAAATACATGATTCTTGCTTTGAAATGTGAAAACAGAATATAGCCTGTTAAGAAGTATTTAAAGAACAGGAATAAAAACTACTGCAATATTTACTGTGGACTATCTCAAAAGCACAGCTAACATCACTTTCCCAAAAGCTTTTTATTAGCAATACTTTAAATCCAGATAGAACTAAAAACAAGTAAAACATACTTCTGAACAACTTTTATCAACAGAAAAAGGGTTTTTTCATAATTCTAACGTGTGTAGTGAAAATACCAACAAAGAACAATCATAGCCCTGTCTTCCTAAGTCTGCATAAAGCCTGAAATACAATTCAAAGGTATATATTTCCTGTTGAGTCTAACAGTGTCATACAAAGAAGATGCAAAGTAGATTACACCAGCAACAGAAGATTAATGACGTCAAATTCCTCTTTCCTTATTATTTAGAATTTAGATAAAAAAATCACGACCTATCATTCCTTGACCAGACAATTCCATATTTTTCCAAGATGTCACACCATTTCATGTTATTACAACAGGTTCTGCTACAAACAGGTAACCCACTATCTTGTTTTCTGTCTGCCTCCCTGAGCAGCACTTGCCTACCATTGCCTCCTCCTCCTCAGTTCCCGTACAAAGGAGTCCATGAATGAACTCCACTAGTGCGCATGTATAATGGATAAGCACAATTTCCAGCACAAGAAATTAAAGGCCTGTCACAGAAATAAAATAGTCTCATTGTGGAATTTAGAGGTTCCTCCCATGTAAGTTAGAAAATGTTCCTGTTGAAAGCAGAAGTTGTTTTCCATAGAACATGGTCATACTGTGTCACAGAGTACCTGGAGCTTCAGGCAACAGAGGATACACAACTGTATATGCAGGCAAATCTAAGACAAACTACATTCCAGTATTATGAATCTTTCCCAAGATACAAAAGACAAAATAATTTTTAAATTAAGGCTAAAATTCTTTTCCTATTGAAGTATTCTGAATTGTTTAAAATGTTTTCAAATCATACGAGAACGTAACTCTTTGGTGAGATAAACAGAACGCAGTCACATTGTCCCAATTCCCCGTTTCTCTTGTTTGGGGACATTGAGAATTATATTTGAGATTTGTGTTGAAATCTAAGTTAAGTTATAAGTAATGGGGGGGGAAAAAGGATCAGAAGTTTAAATCTCCTTCAAGTGCTATTACTAAGGTACGCTGTTTCTTTTTTTAATCAAGTTAAAGTCAAGTAATGTACCCATCTATACATTACGATATCAAACGGCTTCCTTCAGCACACACAGAACTTTAAACTGAACACAGATTTTTTTTTTCCCCATTAACTCTGAATAGTGCAACTTTATAATTACTTCGTGTTTGTCCCAATAGTCTCTGCAAAAACAAAAATTTGATTACTTTTTTTTTTTCTTTTTTTACCTTGAGATCACGGTACACAATCTTCCCAGAATGCAGATAGTCCAGGGCAGAGACAATTTCTGCACCATAGAAGCGTGTGCGGTCCTCTGAGAACACCCGCTCTCTCGACAAATGGAAAAACAGCTGCAGGGTAAACAGCAGGGACAGGATTGTAATAATTACTGATTTAGTGGGGGAAATTAACACAAACATAAAACACCTCTCATCACCATATTGTGATGATAGATAGTGTACTCTCAGTGGACACTCAGCACTCTTAGACAGCAGCTGGCTTATCTTTTCCAGGTTTCCAAAGGGAGAAAGCGAGCTGTTAAATCAGCGTTTTAATCAATATACCAATCTTGTTTAAGGCATTCTGCTTGCTACTCATTTAACCTTCAGTTACCAGAGGAAAAAAAAAAAATATGCAGCAGCATCATTCTGTACTTCTCCCTCCACCACTTCCTCGGATTTTTATTTTAAGCCACTGAGAAATATCACTAAAATACCCGCATTATGGTTCCGCCTTAAGTTTTTCAGTAATTTAGTAACCTTCCTTTGAACTGAAAAAAGCCTAGTTCTTCAGTAGACTTCGACTGAGCAGGTGAACTGGCATTTTACAAAAGCAGCACACTCATACTACTAGCAATATCACAGTCACTAGAAAAAGCACACCAACAACTGCTTAGGGCTTATAAAAACAAATCTATGTATTTAGTGTACTTCTTTGCTACAATGTAAACATTTCTTTGGGAGTTTTGTCTCTTCTTTAATAATTTATAAGTAACAGCACTTTGCAGACACTTTTTCAGCTGAAGTCTTTCAGTGAAAAATACTAGTCATTACGTATTGCCAGTAACCTCAGCTGCAACGATAAGGTGAAGCTCTGTAAGGTTGTCAGCATCTTATTGGATAAAACATCACCCTCAGAACCTGCAAAAACACCTAAAAAAGCAGAGTTTGGCTATTTAATTCAAATGAACTCTAAATGGCCAGTTTTATTTACAGTGTTAAGGAAGCTTAGGAAAGTCCTCAAGCAGAGATTATTGAGTATGTTTCTGTATTCTGCTCAAGATCGAACGGGCTGCCTGCCTTACTCCTTCAAGTTAGAACGTTTTTGGTTTTACCACAAGAGCTAACAATCAACAAAACAGAAAAACAGAAAATGTGAACATTTATAAATCAGACATGGAAATCCATAACAACAATGCGGGGGTTTTTTTTATTTTCACTGCTAAAAATATCAATTAGACGAGAATTCCAAAATGGCAGGGTAGGTACAAAATAAAACCCCAAAACCAACCAACCAAAAAACCAATAACGTGCTTAATCTGCCATTACCGCATCCTACTTTACATCTGTAGGAAATCTACACTGCTCACACAGCACAGAACAGTGTAAGAATTACTGCAGCTATTTTCAGTATGTGGACTTTTCAAAATGTAATTAAGAAGTCAATCCTACAAAAAACTAGAAGTCAACTTCTTTCCTGAGAGCTGTGCTTCAGAAAATGTTTATTACTTTCTTCTGAACCTAAACAAACTTCCCACTAAACCGAGCCCTTTGGCAGCATATATTTGTATAAGCAGAGACTTCACAGAAGACAGAAACTGCAGTACGATTTAAAGCAATTATTTCATTTTTGTTCATTGTATTTCATCCCCCTTTCAATCTCTTTTTGAATTCTCAAGACACCCTGTATAAAAATGGAATACCTGCATGACAAGGAGGATCATTATTTTGTAGGTATTTCAACTGCTCCTGCTGCTCGTTTCCCTGTTTAAGCACCAATCCCTGGTGGTGACATCAGCCCTCCCTGTAGTAACCTGCTTTCTGTACTGGCGACTGCTTAATTGCCAACGCAAACACAAGACCCATACAGACTAAGCAACTAAGTCTGCCTTCATGAAGTGCCTCGCGTATTATACAATTGGGAAAAGAATAAATAAGTTTCTCAATTTGTGGCGTCTTTTCCACACATTTTTGCAAGACTTAAATGGGAAACAAACACCGCTACGTAGATCTTCATCCAAATAAAGCAAAATACAAAATTTAGGTAATTTATGCATTTATGTCTGTTTTGTGGTCTCTTTCATAAATAATGAGGTAATGTCACTCATTTTTAGTTTTACTGTTTTGATGGACTCAAAGTAATTCAAAATAAAGACCAACTTTCAGATCACTTTTTAATGTGTACAAATTAAACAATTTATTTTGTTTACAACAAACACATTCCAAAAATTTATAATATAACCTCCAGTTAGCCCTACATTCATATCTATGCAAAAGGACTATTGCAATTTTCTGCATGAAAGAGAAATAATCCAGTAGCTGAGCAGCAAAGTCTGAGAAAATTCTAAAACCTCAGGACACTTGTCAGCAACAGATGTATTAGTTTCAGTAAAAAAAAGTACCCCAATTTGAATCTGAGAGTTGATAACCTGACAAGTTAACATAACAAAAATTTATTTTCTTTAGTGTTTATTTCCAATAAAATATCCCTTATATTAATTCAAAATACTAACTTCAAATTAAAATGACCAGCTAGAAATAACTAGCAACAGTTTTGTTTGCCAGACTGAGTTCCTAAGTCAGTTTATTTTAACGTTATATATGACACTACAGTCACTCTTCATAAGCATTCTTCATATTATTATAGCATCTAACAGAGCTGTCATCAAACCATACATGCTAGTTTTGAATGAAAAATGTACATTTAGATATAAAAATGCATGTTAAAAGTGAATTCATACATTCAGATATATGCTAAAGATACTAAAGCAAATTTTAAAATTATAGAAAAATCTAATTCAGTGAGATCACAGCATTATTTTAAGTTAATTATTTAGTTGGTTCACTATTTCGGAATAATTATGACATCAGGCTCTATTTACAATTGTCAGAACATGAAGATTTGATTTATTAAGTCAGAGAAGGAAAAGAAGAAATCTGATGGAAGGTTATGAAAAAAGCTTCCAACATTTGCACTATTTATTGATTTACAGTTATTAAATATGTGCTATAAAATCATTGGAATTGCAATAGAAATAGCTTTGGCACAAAGAAAGCCATTTTGCACATAACATTTTTTATGGCATACATGAGGGTGCTATAGTTACAGTCGGGATCAGAGCTATAAATTTCCTGGTATGTCTTTATTGAAAAACTGAACAACAATGTTTCCATGGGTTTTTTTCCTAATAACAAATTTTAATGGAAAAATTTTAACAAATAAAAACAAAGATCAAACATAAAAGTATATTCAACTGCAGATCCAAGCATGCCAAAAGACACAACCTTATATCAATCGATATGTTAAACTTCTACACATGCTAGTGACCTATTTAGCATGTTGAAAGTTGTATGACTGGCTCTTGCTGTTGTATATTGGGTTTGCTCAGCTCTGCAGTTAAACACATTTTATATTGTTGATTTGGCTCTTTTGCAAAGCATTTGCAGTAGCAGCCTTGAAATTTTGAATTATTTGTTTATTGTTTCAGACTTTATACTGCTTCTAGGCACGTTCTATACCCAAAGACATACAGCACCCTTATCTTGGAATATCTTAATTTTAGGCTAAGGAAGATTCTCTCATTTACTTAGAGTTTAAGAAAACAAAACAGGACACAACCAAGATAAAAACGACAAAGCTTACAACAATATTCAGTTATTTTTCATTAGGTAGGTTGTAAATCCTCTGTCTTTTTTTCTAGACAGTAATAGCACTTGTTCAATTACTTAGTTCTCTCTTGCCTAATGAATTGAAGTAAGCACTGTGGAAAAAAAAATGCCAAGCAGAACAGAGATTCAGAATTCCGGTGTGGAGAAACCATCTGAACAAATTTAGAGTCTAATTTTATTATACAGATAATTGCCAATTAAGTTTGTTACAAAGTAAGGAATTTGGAATTATCCTGAAAGTGCAAAGCAAGGAAGTTAATCAACTTATTAGTCAGCTGAATCAGTGTACTCTGCAGAGTAATGTATGTAATAGATTTCATTCCTAAGGCTTTTCAATCTTTAAAGCAAAAAGATTTCATTCCTAAGGCTTTTCAATCTTTAAAGCAAAATACTGGAAATAAAAAATGGGAAACACACACTCCAAAAGTATTCCCCAACAATAAAGAGCCATTCCTAGAATATCATTTTTATACCACAATTTATACCATTCTGTGTGGCCTGGAAGTTGGGGGAACACTGTAATGTACTACTAACGTACTGCAATCACATAGTACTCAAAATTATATGGGTTACAAAAGGAAGAGTAGGCAAATCCATACTAGCAGGAAAACTATCAATACAGCCTTACACATTTTTTTCAAAATGTTGATAGGACAAGGGCAGCAAAAATAGTACAAAAATGAAGGGGTTTTCTTTTCTTTAAAGTAGGCCTGTGTTTGTCTGTAAGTACTGATAGTTTTACTTATTTAAAAATATTTACACGCATATTCTATATTTTGAACCAAAATAAAGAACACAGTTTATCATGCAATACTGCATGTCCTTTTTTTACCACTCTCATAAAATATGCTATTTCAAAGTCTTGATAATGGAATTTGGTCATCTCAACTAAGCCAGATGGATATTTTTTTTCTAAAATAAAATTTCAATGTCTTAATGCTACTTTAATGTAATTCCTTCAGTATAACAAAGGCACTGGGAAGTAATCACAATGTTATAAGTATCCTTCTAGCTCTATACTGCAACATAGTGTATGATCAATAGACATTGCTAAACATTTCATCCGCAGAGTCCAACAGCAACACTAAAAAAAGAAAAAGTTAAGCTTTCAGCTCACAACAAAGATTTCAAGATTGGGCCCTTAAGCAGCAGAAAATTAACTGCAAAAGCTGTCAGTACAAGGAAAACGTATTCAATATTTCCATCTGAATAATTTGCTTGAAAAAATCCTCTAATGTTTTGCTTTAATATATTTAGCTACAGAACATGCTTTTTTTTTTTTTTAAAGGAAGTCAAAAGAGAATTCGATACGGTAATACTTTGTACATTGTAAAAAAGCACACACATAGACCAGTAAAACTGATGCAGTTACACTTTCATTATAATGTGTTCCCTTATCAACTGAGCCTAACTAATTTGAAGTTACATAGGCAAGGTAAGGCAAAGATAAATTGCTACTATTCTGGCGGGACATCAAATTCAACACGGATCTAGATTTTTAACAGGTATAGAAGATTCTTGTTTAGAATCATTTTAACACAATTTCTTCTCCTCCAGAATGACATTCAGTGACCCCTTCCTTGACT